ACTATCAAGGTCCCGGGAAATTTCCCTAAGCAATTTTTAAAGCCACATCGGGGCACAAAGCCTGAATATAAAAGCTTACAGCGATTCTACAAAATGTTACGCGAAGAAAAAAAAAAAATATATGAGCTGGCACTGAAAGTGGGGAGAAGAACGTAATAAAATGTCCCGTGGCTCGGCTCTCAAACTGAGGGTCTGGGGGTTAGAGCCCCAGCAGGGGTAGAAACGTTGACTTTGTTCACCTAGAAGCCGCAGGTCCCTGGGTATTAGTGGACTGCTGTGGATGGAAATCCCAGGTGGTGGCAGAATACCCCAGATAGGGCTGGGCTTTGATATGAATTGAGGTAGGGACAACTCTTAGCTTGTAAAACTGATCTGTGTAAAAAAAATGCCTAAAAATTAAAATATGTTACAAAAAAAGAACATTTGATGAGAGATTACCAAATAAGAGGCAGAAACTAAACCTTTCCTATAAGATGGAAAAAACACAAGGCGCTCTAAGCAACTGAAAAAATTTAAAAACCTAAAATATTTCCGCAAGTACGCGAAACCCAAAAATTAAGAACAACTCCAAGCCAAGACAAGAAAGTTTAGGTAAGACCCCATGTTGGGGTAGCTGGGAAGATGAGACATGCGAAGAATAGCGCTAGAGATGATTTGTCCACAGTAAATAAAGTGACACGGCTTAATCACGTCAAAATAAATACCACCAGTATGCTCCCCTCTGTTGTTTCTTACCTGCCTGCCCTGTCCTGCGACCTAACCCTGCTGCCAGCTTGTTAAGACTGAAGACCTCCAGAAGACCATTGCAACTGAGCCTACTTTTCCTGTTTCTTCAATTTTTCCCACGAGGGGCTGGGTTAAGGTGGCAAGTTTGTAGAAGAGCCATTCTCAAATTTCCTGAAGCTGCCCCTAGAAAGGCGGTAAAATTTTGTCTTGAAATCCAAAGGCAAAATCGTAGAGGCTTGAGGAACTCCAGAACTTGGGTGAGTGTGAAGTGGTGAGGTTGTTCGCAGGCAAACTTGACATTTTACTGCACCGAGGCTTTTGTAGAGTTCAGTGCAGGTCATGGTTTCAGTGTTTGAGAGAGCAGTTGTAAAAGGGTAAGGCTTTCCCATGTTGGTGTGCTAGAGTCGTCAGTATCTTCTTACATGGATTCATAGACGAGTCTACAAAGGTACTAGCGGGTGAGAGGGGTCGACAGAAGCAGTGGAGAGGTGTACTGGTGGTGTGTAACATCGGGGTTGGGGGGCGGTGGGGGCGGTGGTCGAGGCACATAAGCGTGTCGGATTATTATTATTAGGTGGGTTTAGTAGGTTGGTAGACAGCAACCACCCAGGGAAGTACTACCGTCCGCCAGATGACTGTGAAACAGAAACCTGTAACTGTTTTGCTGATGGTAGGATTGCTGGTTTCTTTTTCTGTCTCATAAACACGCTAGATAACAGGGATATCTTGCTACTCCTACTTACACTTTGGCCCCAACCTTCACAGACACGCACATGCATACATATTATACATACATCTAGGCTTTTCTCCCTTTTTCTAAATAGCTCTTGTTCTTCTTTATTTCTTCTATTGTCCATGGGGAATGGAAAACGAATCTTTCCTCCGTAAGCCATGCGTGTCGTATGAGGCGACTAAAATGCCGGGAGCAATGGGCTAGTAACCCCTTCTCCTGTAGACATTTACTAAAAAAGAGAAGAAAAACTTTTAAAAAAACTGGGATGTTTTGAATGTGCGTGGATGTAGCGCGGATGACAAGAAACAGATAATTGCTGATGTTAAGAATGAAAAGTTGGATGTCCTGGCCCTAAGTGAAACAAAGCTGAAGGGGGTAGGGGAGTTTGGGTGGGGGGAAATAAATGGGATTAAATCTGGAGTATCTGAGAAGTTAGAGAAAAGGAAGGGGTAGCAGTAATGTTGAAGGATCAGTTATGGAAGGAGAAAAGAGAATATGAATGTGTAAATTCAAGAATTATGTGGTTTAAAATAAAGGTTGGATGCGAAAAGGGGTCATAATAAGCGGGGTATGCACCTGGAAAAGACAGGAATATAGAGGAGAGAGAGAGATTTTGGGAGATATTAAGTGAATGTATAGGAGCCTTTGAACCAAGTGAGAGAGTAATTGTGGTAGGTGCCCTTTAAATGCTAAAGTAGGAGAAACTTTTAGAGAGGGTGTGGTAGGTAAGTTTGGGGTGCCAGGTGTAAATGATAATGGGAGCCCTTTGATTGAACTTTGTATAGAAAGGGGTTTAAAGTTATAGGTAATCCATATTTTGGGAAAAAAGAGGATAAGTATAACAAGATAGATGTAGGGCGAAATGACAGTAGTTGTTGGATTATGTATTGGTAGATAAAAGGGTGTTGAGTAGACTTCAGGATGGGAAAAATTTATTAGAGGGGCCACAGATATATTCAGATCACTTTTTAGTTGTAGCTACACAGAGTAAAGGTAGATGGGATAAAAGGAGAATAGAAGCATCAGGGAAGAGAGAGTTGAAGGTTTATAAACTAAAAGAGGAGGCAGTTAGGGTAAGATATAAAAAGCTATTGGAGGATAGATGGGCTAATGAGAGCATAGGTATGGGGTCGAAGGGTATGGGGTAGGTTAAAATGTAGTGTTGGAGTGTTCAGCAGAAGTTTGTGATTACAGGAAGGTGGGTGCAGGACGGAAGAGGAGCGATTGTGGAATGAGATGTAAAGAGAGTAGTAAGGGAGAAAAAGTTAGCATATGAGAAGTTTTACAAAGTAGAAGTGATGCAAGGAGGGAAGAGTAATGGAGAAAGAGAGAGAGGTTAAGAGAGTGGTGAAGCAATGTAAAATGAGAGCAAATGAGAGAGTGGGTGAGATGTTATCAACAAATTTTTTTGAAAATAAGAAAAAAATTTTGGAGTGAGATTAACAAGTTAAGGAAGCCTAGAGAACAAATGGATTTGTCAGTTAAAAATAGGAGAGGAGATTATTAAATGGAGAGTTATAGGTAAATTTGGGGAAAATGGAGGGAATATTTTGAGGAATTGTTAAATGTTGATGAAGATAGGGGAAACTGTGATTTCGGTATAGGGCAAGGAGGAAAAAACATCTTGTAGGAGTGAGGAAGAGCCAGTTGTGAGTGTGGGGGAAGTTCGTGGGCAGTAGGTAAAATGAAAAGGGGGGTAAGGCAGCCGGGATTGATGGGATAAAGATAGAAATGTTAAAAGCAGGTGGGGATATAGTTTTGGAGTGGTTGGGCAATTATTTAATAAATGTATGGGGAAGAGGGGAAAAGGGACCTAGGGATTGGCAAGAGCATTTCATAGTTCCTTTGTATAAAGGCAAAGGGGACAAAAAGAGGGGCAAAAATTATAGGGGGAAAAGATTGTTGAGTGTACCTGGTAAAGTGTATGGTAGAGTTATTATTGAAAGAATTAAGAGTAAGACGGAGAATAGGATAGCAGATGAAAAAAGGAGGCTTTAGGAAAGGTAGGGGGTGTGTGGACCAGGTGCTTACAGTGAAAAAACATAAGTGAACAG